TTGACAATAGGCTATTCTGCTTGAATTAGAGTTATAATTTTAAATGTAATAATTTAGACAAACAATATAAATTTTCCGTCCGGCCGGCTTACCCGCTATCGGGTGCGGCAGGGGGGCAGCAGGAGAGAGACCCCGCGCTCTCCCCAGCAACACTTCCAGCTTGTCCTGGGGAACTCTGAGACGTTCCCAGACCAGAGGGAATACACAATCCCTCCAGCGAGTCCTGGGTTTTCTCCAAAGTGCCAGACTTATTTTGAAAACATTTTAAAATGCTTATTTCAAACCCGCATCTGAGACCACCTGCGACCGCGCAGCGCGCGGGGGGAGGGGGGAAGGGTACGGTACGCAGCGCTGTGTCTTCCTTGTAGCTGAAGCAGGAAACATAGCCTTATATGGTGTTTTTGGGGTGGTAATTATGCTAATCTCCTCTCGCGTGCACGAGCAGCTGGATACGAACAGGTGGAATTTACGCAGCACATTTACACACTTTTCCTGAAGATAGAAGAATTTGTTGAATCTGACGTGACATGTTCGTACGAACCCTTTGTATGAACAAAATTAAGAGAAATTTAGGATAAGAATACAATGGGGGGTTCTTTTTTTCTGTTCTTTTTCTGTTCCATTCTGTTCTTTTTGTTTTTTTGTCATCCATTTACTATCACATTATTTTCTTTTATTTCTTTATTTCAAACACAAAAAATACTTGTACACAGGTGCACAAACCCACACATGCTCATATTCCATACATTCAAATACTTAATAATAAAACATATGCTTCATTTAACTTCAAATACATCACATGCATTTTTTTATATATCTTACATGCTACATAGGTATTATCTTGACTAATCATCACTCACTGTCAATGACTGTCTCTGTGTCCCCACTGTTATGATAACGGGCGTGGTTTAATTTTATTCTCACAAATACTGCGATGGGTTTTTTAAGGTTTGTCACATGGAATATAAACGGAGCAGGTACCCAACAGAAAAGATATATAATTTTTAACCAGCTTAAAAGATTAAAGGCAGATGTTGTATTACTACAAGAAATTCATAAATTAAATTCAACTGTAGATGATCTTAAGTCTCCTGAGTTCCCTAACGTATTCTCAGCCTGTTATAATTCAAGACAAAGAGGGGTAGCAATATTAATACATAAAAATATCAACTTCACAGTATTAGATACAGTTATTGACCCGAAGGGTAGATATATAATATGAAAATTTTCCTTATTTAGCCAAAAATACTGTATTGCAAGCATAGATGGTCCAAATGTGGATGATACCTCATTTTTTCATGATTTCTTTTCTGTTCTATCAAATCACCTGGATCGCTCACTGCTTCTTGGAGGCGATTTCAACTTTGGTCTAAATAATAACATTGACAGGACGAATACGGCTGGAGCTCAGCGCAGTTGG